TGTAGTAAGTAGGTCCTAAGGAATCATGTCACAAGAGCGACTTTGTCCTGGATGGGAGGACCTTCGCTATCTTGTTGCACACAGGGCCTGGTCACCCTGCGATTTCAGCTACTCTAAACCCTTCTGTGTTAAGGATTTCAGCAGACCCCTAAAAAGGGGTGTTAGTGATGCTCTGGGAAGGAGTCCCCACCTAGCAGCATAATTTACTGACCCAAAACTCTTCCCTTCCACCAACCGCTTCACCTATCACAAAACCCTAACCAAATGAGTCTTAAGACAAGAAAACTTTATCTGATGCTCTAACTGCTGAAAATACTAAATAAGCCTCCTCCAGATTCTTCAGTCTTAAGCTTACTTAAGTTGCTATTCTTGGCATATCTAATTTAAAACGCTTTTGCATCTATGTGTGGGCATTTTTTGCATGATTTTTAGACTATAGTTAGAGTGTTAATTAATTACACAGGCTATTCCCTCTGACTACCTGTTTCTCTCTGCTTCTTCTGTCATCTCTTCTAAACACCAGTTATTCGGGGCCTGTTAGAGTTACCACAACAAAGAGACAGGGTTGAGGAACGTTGTCCTTCGGAAATGTGCTGAGGTGATGAATGGAGAGGTAAAACAAAACAGAAACAGAAACAAATGCTGTTGCTGAAGGTGCTAGAGAATATGAACCAAAGAACTGTTGCAGGGAGATAAGAACTGGGCATGTGCCAGCCTGAGCCCTCCTGTGCCGTCCCCTTCAGTGTGCAGAGAGACTTTAACGTCGCAAAATGTGGACCATTTCACTATCTAATCCCCACATTGGCTCTGCTTTCACTTCTGCACTAAGTCAACATAATCTTCTGTGTCACCTCCTCCCTCAGAAGAATAAGAACTTGAGCTTGTCAGCTCATGCTCCTCCCAGTGCACTCCCCTGACGGCCTGCTTCCTCATCCACAAAACACGGATTAACGCCCCATTAAGTTGCTGTGAAGACCAAGTAAATGACAAGTGCAGGTACTCAACTGTCTGACATGAGGTACCCAAAAGCGTTTCTTAAAGGCGCCGGTATTAGGGCCAGTGTGGTGGCTTGGCAGGTGAAGGCACATCTTGATTAAGCTTGATGACCTCAATTGCATTTCTAAAACCCACAGTAGAAGGAAAGCACAAACCCCTGAGAGTTGTCCTCTGATCGCCAAACATGTGCTGAGACATGTGCGGACATACACCCACACACCTCACCAACACATCACACACACACTCTCTCTCTCTCTCCTCTCTTTCTCTCTCTCTCTCTCTCTCTCCTCTCTTTCTCCCTCACTCTCAGATTACATTGATTTTAGAAATGGTGGCCCGTGTATGCTGTAATCCCAGTACCTAGAGTGCTGAGGAGTGCCGTGAGTTCTAGGCAGGCTTGGCTACAGAAACCCTGTCTCAAAGCAAAGACAAACTGGCATTACATGTTCATTCTCATGTGTCATGCTATTGTAACTCTAGGCAGAGATTACTGAATAACAAGTTTGGTTCCTCAGCCCAACACAACTAGGTCTTCCATCAGAGCGAGCTGATGGGCTCTCCAGTGGGCCCCAGTAAGTAAGAAAAAAGCAAATTAATTAAACAGGCTATTGTTATGAGCAAATTAATTCAGTGAGTTGAGGAACATGTTTCCAGGAGGTGAGGCCCCTTCTCGTGCCTCATCCCTTCCTCGGCGCTCACCGAGGAAAAGCACCAGGCTCCTGGAGACACTGTGCACCTGATAAAGCACTGGACACTGTCTGCTGGACCTAGCACTAAGAGCCCATTCTTAGTGCCAGGCTGGGGAAGGGAAGGGTCAAGCTGATTACCCGGAACCTGTCTGGGCTGTAGAGGGTGGGGGGTGGAAGGCAGCGTAGAGGAACCAGGCTTGCTGCCCTCTGTTGGTTGGGGCCGCCAGCATGGTGAGGGTGTGCAGGGTCAGAAGAGACTCCAGGGAGGTTATTTTGGTTTGGGGTACAGGGAAATGGGACCCAGGGGGCCTGCCTCCTAGGCGAATGCACTTCCACTGAGCTACATCTCCTCTTTCCCTTTTTATTTTGATACAAGATCAAAATTAATTGCTCATCTGACCTTGAACATTCCTTCCCTCGGCGCCCCCAAAGAGCTGGGATTATAGGCATGGGACTCGAGGTAAGGTTTTTTAAGGAGCTGTGAAAACGCCTTTGTTTTGGAGAATGGCTTTGGAAGTGTTTGGGATTTCCTCAAGGTGGACCCTTACCACCTATAACTCAGAAGTTGTTCTCTGAATATTTATCCCAAAGCAGCTTGTTCACGTAGAGAAGGATGTTGAAGTAGTCCTGTTGAAGACAGGAGCAACCCAGTTCTCCTAGTGAAATAACCAACGGAATAGTGTGTACCAGTGGGGGAAAAAGTACAGCAAGAGGTAATAATGTAGCTGGGCGGTGCTGGCACACACCTTTGATCTCAGCACTCGGGAGGCAGAGGCAGGTGGATCTCTGAGTTCCCGGCCAGCCTGGTCTACAGACCATACCTCCAGAACAGGCAGGGCTACACAGAGAAACTTTGCCTGGGTGGGGGATGGAGAAGCAATGATGTGGACACACCGTAGCAGTGTAGTCATAAAAGAAAAATCCTAAAAGATTGCACATATGCTTTTAAAAAACCCTAAAATTACAATATTTACTTTTAAAGACAAATACAAGCATAAAGCATTGTTTCTAACTACGGACTTGGGAAGCAGAGATTGGTGGTATGGCTTGAATCTCAAGTGTCCCGCACAGGCTTGTGATTCTCCACAGTAAGGGTGCCGTTTGGGAGGGATTCAGAACCCTGGGGTGGAAGGAGGCGAAATGGGGTGTGCCTTTGAGGATTACAGCCTGGCCCTGCCTCTAGCTTGCTCTCTCTGCTTCCGAGTCCGTCACCATAGGAACGGCGCCACATGTTCCAGCCGCCATGGACACCGCCATGCCTTCCCCATGACAGGCTAACATCCTGGACACCCCAAGCAAAACTAAATCTTTTGTCCCTGGAGATGTCTCTGACGGGTGTTTTGGTCAGAGCAACAGAACAGTAGCTAACATGGACGCCGGGGTCACAGGTCAAGTTCCACTGGCTTTTTCTAGCTCAGGACCCTAGGGTGAGGCTGCTGGGAGGACCTCGGGGACTGGATGTAAGCTACGATCCAGACGCTAGGCTGGCAGGGTGGCTCAAGGGGTAAAGGTTTGTCGTGAAAGCCTAGTGACCTGAGTTCTACCCCAAACCAACCACTGGAAAGAGAGAAGCGTACTCCCGAAAGCGGTCCTCTGGGCTCCCCGAGTGCACCACGGCAGAGCCCTGTGCTGTTGTGTGCATTGTACACACATACACAATAACGGTAAATAAACAAGATTCTAAAGGCGACTAGCTTTCATTTCAGGCCACGCTAATAACATTGTGCAGCACAGGAAGATAGATACATGAATTAAATAGGCCATGGACAGGCCAGGAAGGAGAGTGAGCTACCAGACAAAGATTACGAAGCTTTGCCTTCGGGGCCCAAACTCGGTCAACAGTGGACATCATTCCTTCCCCTGGGTTTAACGAGAGAAGTGTATGAAGAAGCCCAGAGATACACAGGTGCAGAGTGGAGCGGGGGAGGGGGGAGTACACACAGGGGACGGAGGGGCATGAAGAGCCTAAGACAATGAACAGTTCTCAACCTGTGGGATAATCAAAGGACCCTTTCCCAGGGGTTGTCGCCTAAGATCATTACATTGCGATTGATAACAGTAGCAAAATTACAGTTATGAAACAGCGATGAAAATAACTTTATGGTTGGGGGAGTCACCACAAAATTAGAAACTGTATTAAAGGGTCCACAGCATTAAGAAGGTTGAGAACCACGGCCTAACAAGTTCCTAAGGCGTTCTTTGGGCTTGTTTTGTGGAAGGAGGTACACACCTGTGTGCCTTGATCTTGTGTGATTCCAAACAACACTGCAAGATTGTTTTCTCGGTCTAAGCCAAAGCCGGATCATTCACCTCCTTCCCTGCCTCCTGGCTGGCCTTCACTCAGCCTCCGAGGCTCACCTCTCCAGGCTGTGGGCGCCCTTGGGAGTGGGGAGGAGAGGTTTAAACAAAGGATCCCAATTGTTCCAAGGATTATCCTGGCCTGTGTGGGCCTGTCCTGATTCATAGTAAAGGGAACCCCACCTAGGGTCTGGGGCCAGGACACAAGGGCAAGGCATGCAGGCAGAGGGCTGGAAGCAGAGGCCCTTCCTCGGAGGTCTGGCTCTCATTAGTTCTGGCCCTGCCCACACGTTGGGGACTCTGGCTTTTTCTGGCTATCCCTGGACTCCACTACCCTAGTCCAGGATCCCTAGATCCTCTTGGTGGGGCATCTCATCTGCCCGCAGCTTGTGAGGGGGTGTTTTCCATCCGAGACTGAAAAATGTTTGCTAAGAGAATCAGCCATCCCTTTTGCCTGTTTGGGGATCTGTGGCCAGTGAGTGTTGGCAGGAGGCAGGAGCCCCATCTTGCAGGTGGGAACACTGAAGGCCCCCCAACACTGGCTCCATCTGGTGAATCCTCTGAGCAAAACGGAGGTAGAGAAGACTCAGCTCACACTTGGCTGTTTCCTGAACTTTGGGTGTGTGTGTGTGTGTGTGTGTGTGTGTGTGTGAGAGAGAGAGAGAGAGAGAGAGAGAGTCTGTCTGTCTGTCTGTGTGTGTCTGTCTGTGTGCACGTGCACAAAGTGGGTGGGTGGGTGGGTGGGTAGGATGGGTAGGGGCTAGGAACCTTGAAGCCAGAGACTTACTCTGTCACCTCAATGGCTCATCTGCAGGCATGTCCTCGTCTGAGCCTCGGTGCTGTCATTTGCAAAAAGGGAGACAACGCTGCAAAGAGTTTACATAACCAATTGTTAGGACTTCTGCTGGGATGAAATGTGCCTGCTATGCAGAGGCACAGGGCCCCGGGGGAGTGGCTCTGAGGGTCTCAAACCCAAGGCTGAAGCCATGATTCTTCACTGTCTCCTCTCCCCTCCAGCTTCTCTTGGCTCTGTGGACACGTTCACAGGAACATTCTCTCCAAGTTCACGGGCCAGGCGGTGGAGCTTTTTGATGAGGAGTTCCGACGCCTCTACGCCTCCTCCAAGCCCCTGATGGGCCTCAAGTCCCCAAGGCTGGTCGCCCCGCTCCAGCCTCGCAAGGGCCCAGAAGCCCCCAATGGCCACCTCAGCGGCAGCAGCGGCTCCGCCAGTGACCGTACCTCCTCCAACCCCTTCAGTAGCCTGTCGACCGGCAGCAATGCCCACGACCGGAGTCTGTCCACGTCCTCAGGGCCGGGCAGTCCCCTGGCCGCCATCCCACCCTTGGTTCCAAGGCTTCAGCCCTATCACAGTCCCTGGATAGCAGCGGCCTCTCAGGCCCTCTTGGTCCCTGTGAGGCCCCATGAGGGAGCACCAGTTCCCTACAGCAGCCTTATGGCCTACAGGCCCACTCGGCTGCAGCTGCAGCAGCTCGGCCTGGTGCCCAGGGTGACTCACACCTGGAGGCCTTTTCTACAGGCCTTGCCTCATTTTTAAAGGGCCCTTTTCCCTCGATGCCTTCCTCGGGGGCGAGGACTGGGCACTGCTGAATTTTCTGGATCGAAGGCCATGCCTTGAGGACCAGTAAGACTGAGCCTGATTCCCTATGAGCTAACGGCATGGGGGTGGGGAGTTGGGTTATTGCCTACCTTTGAACGTAGGCTAACGTTACCCATTCTAGAAGATTCCAGGGAGGCCCTTGGAAAGACTGCAATGACAAAAGCTCATTGAGAACCCCTGCCTTCCAAAGGCCATCCTGGACTTTGCTAGTGATGTCTACATAGTGTGAAAATGGGAAGATGCCGCCTACGTTTTCTAAACAGGCTCCACTCCCTCAAAGACTCAGCAAGGAAGGATTCAGAAACCAGTGTGAAAACATTCTGGATGTTTCTCATAGGAAATGTTCCTTCCCTGTTAAGGGTCTTCAAACGGGGGTTCCTTGGACCTGCTGGGCTAGCAATGAGACCCCTAGAAACTGTCTGTATTCTGTGGGGTCGCCTGAAGCTGCCGCCAGCAGGGATAGAACAGCCTGAGGAGGCTGGAATTTTCCCTTCCACAGGGCATTTTAGCAGACTTTGGCTCTTGCTTAAGAGGACCCTGGTCTGACCTGGAAGGCCCTGAAGTCTGGGCTGGCTGCAGACACATGAGTTGTCATGGCTGGGAATGGCCTGCAGCAAGGCCCAGGGCAGCCTTGGACAACTTTTCAAAGGTTCAGCTGGCCCATGGCAGCCACCTGCCTCCAGCTCTGGAGCCTTTGCTTGTCCCGTTGATGCTTTGAGAAATAAATGTGGAACCCTCACTCACAAGCCCTGGGCTAGTTCACTCCTAGAATATGACGGCCACCCCTCTGTCGGGTAGAGATGGAGGGAGGGGAAAGATAGGGTGGTAGATAAGCTTAGGCTAGGCCAACTAAAAGAAGGCAGGTGACTAGGATCTGGGACACACACACACCCCTCCTGCTAGCCATAACCCATCACAACAAAACCCTGGGCTTTCCTGAGGACGGCTGGGGAGCGCTGAGGATGGCTGGGGAGCGCTGAGGACAGAGCCCTCCCTCCTGTCTCCTGTTTCCAACAGCTGTGGCACAATTAGGCTCTAACCCATCCATCTGCCTGTTGTTATGTACCCAACACTCCTGGCAAAGGCAGGGTCACTCTGGTTTCCATTTGTTTCTTTCAAGTTCTCTTCCCACCCTCCCTTTACTTTTCTGTTTTAGTTCTGACAGTTAAAAGAAAGAAGGAAAGAAAGAAAGAAAGAAAGAAAGAAAGAAAGAAAGAAAGAAAGAAAGAAAAAAAGAAAGAAAGAGAAACACTCATATTTGGATCCTGATTTTTTTTTTTTAAATTACATATGTATTGTATACGTGTCCTGCGTTGTGTATGTGGAGGTCAGGAAAAAAAAAACCAAAAACCAAACAGACAAACAAATAAAAACAAAATGTGCCTGTGTCTTTCTGGTGTCTTCTTCCACCATGTGAGGCCCAGGGATCAAAGCCAGGCCTTCTGGGTTGGTGGCAAGTTCCCTTGCTCTCTGAACCATCTCACCAGGCAGCCCGAGGCTGCTTTTACCCTCTGTCACCTGGATGAAGGTGGAATTACCAGGCATGGCTAGGTTCTAAATTGGATTTCACAGTTGGGTAAGAAAGTTGAAAGCAGAGAAGGCTCACAGGGTAACAAAACTACTGAAGTCGTCATTCTAAGGCCTGTCTATATATGCCGGAATGAGCTCAACCCCAGAGAAGGAAGAAACAGCCAGTTCCTGGCCACTCCCAGCTAGCAGTTCCCCTGCGCCCTGTCATTATGTTAGGCTATTAAAAATACATGATTTCTAGCTGGGCAGTAGTGGCGCATACATTTAATCCTGGCACTCAGGAGGCAGAGGCAGGCAGATCGCTGTGAATTCAAGGCCAGCCTGGTCTACACAGCAAGTTCCAGGACAGCCAAGGCACACAGAAAAACCCTGTCTCAAAAAAACAAAAAGAAAAGAACACACACACACACAAACATATATATGTACATATATATATTTATACTCCAGTGAGCCCTCATAGTTTGGTAACAGCCAGCTGGCCGGGAGCTAGGCCAGCATTGCTCTGATTAGCAGCATGTAAGGCTCACCTTCAGGCAGAGCCTGTAGTGTGCAACCAGAAGGATCTGGCAGGTTGAAGCCCTCCTCTGCCAGCCACACTTCTGCAGTAACCACAATCCCCCATCCCCACCACCTGCCTTAAAATAAATATACAGTGTGAAGAAATACTGCTATATCATTTAAGCCACTGGGATATGGAGAGTTTCCTTTTCACATCACGGTTCAGCCTAACCTGACCTAGGACCTCTGAAACCCACTGGCTTGGTAGAGGGAACATCCTTTGGGGGTAGCTTGCACTCCCTCCTGGAGACCTGACTCCCATCACAGACCTGCCAAAGTTTTCAGCACCTGGCAATGGATGGTGGACAGTCAGATCCAGCCTACATCTAGTTTCAGGTCTTGCCAAGTAAGTGGTCTTGTAAGTGGCATACACTCCTGGCCACAAGGAGCAGCGGGAGGATCTGAATCTTTTCGCTGAGCACTATTCAGAGAACCTGAAATCTGAGTAGGCCATGCGTCAGCAGCTAGGGAAATAACCTTAGTATACCATCTCCAACCAGCAAGCTTCACCAGGAAGCGGGACAAAGGCCATCATTCGGGAAATCAGTCTTGCCCCTCTGGTCAAGTGGTCAGCCATATTCTGTAAAGAATATTTTCAGTTATTCTTTGACAATTTCAAACATGTAAACGCTGCAACTTGATCATACGAATCCCAGCTCCCCACTCCCCGCTCCCAGGAACCGGGTCCACGTGGCGCTGTGTGTTGGAATATGAGTGTTCTTGCTGGTTTGATCTTACACAGATCTTGTGCGAGTAATCATAGCCACAGTTAGTTCATGGGTGAAAGTGGTCATGCCATGTCCAAAAGACGGCATTTCACAGCACTTCTTCCTACCCTTTAGCTCTTACCGTCTTTCTATCTCCTATTCCACAGTGTTATCTGAGCCTTGGAGTGTGTGTGTGTGTGTGTGTGTGTGTGTGTGTGTGTGTGTGTGTGTG